CGCTGCGATCTTGGACAACTTCGCCGCCTCCTTCTGCGCTGAGGTAATGTTGGCAGTGACAATCCTCCACGTGCGCACCTTTGTAGTCACCACCTCCTCTGGTCGGGCCTGACTGGGGAGGCCGACACCACAGTTGCGGCAGGTCCGCTCAGCACTCAAGGCGTCGCTTTGATTCTGCGCCGACGCCAAGTTTTGCTGAGCTGCAGTCCGCACTGGCATACCTCCCTTGGGAGGCGACGAGGTGTTCCCAAACGGGCCTGTGCCCCAAGACGCGGGGCCCGAGGGTTCATGGTCGTCGGCGGCACGAGGGGCACACTCCCCGACGCCAATCCCCCCAGGGCCCCCGTCAGCCTCTTGAGGCTGAGTCTGGCGAAGCGACCCAACCTGCTCAAGACTCCCCAAGACAGCACCTCGGGGGTTCGGGAGCTTCTCTGGCTTGGATCCTATATTAGAACCACCACTCTGAGATAGCACCAGAGTATCTGCATGCAGCTGTGCAGCTCGTGGTGCAGGTGGTCCAGCTGGATCCTCAGGGTCAGCTTCATCATCTTCATCTTCGCTTGGGAGTTCAACTGTTGGCCGATACCGAGCCGCATCAATAGGCGGGGCCCGACTCTCACGTATCTCTCGGCGAAATAGACGTTGAATATCTCCCAGCTGCTGCCAGTGTAGAGCTATGACCCTGTCCCATTCGTTGAACATGTCCTGCGACTCCAGCCAGTCCAGGTACTCAAGGAAGTTGGCTCTGTTATTGCTAGACTGCACCCATGCCATGTAACAATAATTGCGAGCAACTTGGCTGAGGTGAGCCTCATCCCGAAAATCTGCAGGTGATTGCTGCCTGAGCTTCACAACTGCGTACTGCACGCACATGTCCATCCACTCCTCATATCCTGAGAAATCTGAAGCAAGTGAGGGAACCCATCTGCATGCTGCTGACATCAGTCCTTCGCGAAAGATGTACTGTGGCGTGTCAGGATCCACGGGCGGTGGCTTGCCCATCGCACACGGCTCCCCTGACACCCAAACGATGCCGTCGTAGATGTTGAGCGAACAGATAAGAGCTCCAAACAACTCTGCATTCTGCTCTGAAACAGCACCGTCAACCACACCACTGCCAGAAACTGCACGTATCTGCATGGCTGACTGTGGTACCAAAGAAGGGATGGCCGTCGAACTCCCAACTGCCGCTCTGAGTGAAAACGCCACTGTCGAGCCGAGCGAATTGAGGCAGTCCAACAGCTGAAGCGCCTGGTACCTCTGCGAAGGTGGAGCCGACAACAGCGGCGCCATCTGCTGGAGCGTGAGCTGCGTCTGGCTCACTATCTGCTGGAAGTGGCCCCAGCTGCCAGCTTTCGCAAAGCCCTCAGTGGGTGTCTGCTGCAGCAGCTGGGGCCCCGACCCTGCGCCGCTTGGCCTTCTCAGCAGCTGAGGCCAGCTGCTGGCGAATCCTCTTGCGGGCTTCGTTGATGCGCTGGATCTCGGCGACGTCGTCAACCCCGTCCAGCTTGAGGCCCTGCTCGTTGTACAGGTCCTCCAGGTCCTCGTCCTCGGGCACTGGGATGTCAAGCTCGGGTCCAGCACCCATGCCGACATCACCTGCACCACTGCCGCCGCCGTCACCAGGAGGAGCGGTAGGCTGCTCAGCCTGAGCGCTCTCCTGCTGGGCCCTCCTCTTCTCGGCCTCCTGCTTTTGGTACTGCTCCAGCGCCTGCTGAAGAGCCTGCATGGGCCCTCGCAAAGGCTCAGGAACTTCGCCGTCGCTGCCTGCCAGCTGAAGCTCTGCGAATCGTCCACAAAGCTGCAGGGCTGGATTGGCTGCACCACTGGCCTGCTCCTTGAGGAAGGCGTCGGACTTCGCCTTCTCGAGCTGCTGCTTTTTGTGCTTGTGATTCTCCAGAATCTGCTTCTCTGCGTCACGACTTGCCAGGGCGCGCTGGTACTCCTCCTCGCGCTCCTTGAGCCGCTCCTCAGACTTCTGAAGCTTTTTGTTAGTGTCTTCCAGCCTCTGGCCCAGCTGGAACGAAGTGAGCTTTGTGATGTCGACGGGCTGGTCGGACGCCTTGACAGACATCGCCTTGTCCCACTGCACCACCATGCTCTTCGCCTGCTCTGGCCAGAGCTTCCGATCATCTCCGTGTGCCTTGACCATGGTCTCAAGCATCGCTTTCGCCGTTGCCTGATCGACCATAGGTTGAGCAGCAGGGGCTGGCGAGGCCTGGGTCTGGCTGATGGAGCCTGCCCAGAGAGAGGCTGGCGGTCCGTCCGCCCACCTGTTCTTCGCCTTCTGCCAAGGGGGCTGGCTCTTGCCTCCACCCGCTGCTCCCTGATTCTGCTTTCTCTGCTTCTCCAGCACTCCTTTTGGCGCCTGCTTGCCGCAGCGCAGGCAGTGGGTGCGGTGGGCATAGTTGGCGAACGCTGTGCCATACACCCTCGCGCAGTTCCCACAAGGCCAAGAAGGGTGCCTTGCCGCCATCCGTGGCCCGCCCGAGCGAGCCGCGTCGAAGTACACTCGGGCAAGCCCAGTGCGCCTGGGCCGACACGGCTAGGAGGAGGAGGAGGAGGAGGAGGAGGAGGAGGAGGAGGAGGAGGAGGAGGAGGAGGAGGAGAGGAGGGCGGGTGTGGGGGAGACGCGGGCGCGGCGCGGCAGGGAAGAAAACCAGAACCCCACGAAGCATGTGGGGAATAAATACACACAAATAAACATATTCCCCATATTTTCCTATATTTTCTGGGTTTTTGTCTTCCCCCCCACTTCCCATATTTTCCCGTATTTTCCTAGGAATCGACGATGAATTGTGTCTGTGTGTTTTTTCCTCTCCTGAGTTGAAGAACTCAGGACGTCGCCTGCCTGGGCAGGGCTTGGCGGCCACGAGCCTCGGCCACGAGCAGGGCCCCGCGACCTAGATCTGAGGACCGGCCTGGATGCCAGCGCCCCTCCCGATCCCAAAGCGGTCCTGAAGTTCAGCGCGTACAGTCGGGGCCTTGACCTAAGGAACCCCAAATAAGGAACGAGGCCCCTGTTTTCCAGAAGTTCAACTTCGATGTCCGATCGAAGACACAAGGAAAACCTCAGGCAAGCTGCGAAACACATAAGGAACGCGGAGCCCCTCCCCAACGAGAAGGGTTCCTTCTTCAGGGCCCCGACTGTACCCCTGCTCATCCCCATCGGGAGGGGTGTACGAACCCAAGCATGCTCGCGCCGTGGCGAAAGTCACGACGGGAAATTTTGGGCCGCTATTGGGCTCCGGGGGCCCTCGCCAGGCTCCGGCACCGTGCAAAATCGACGCGGAATGAAATGGCAGCCCTGGGAAAAAAGGGTCGGGACTTCCAGGGGCCCCGTGTCAAACAAAATCATGACATCGGATGTCTGGGTAGGCGCCCCTGCTCATCCCATCGGGAGGGATATCAAGGGTATTGTGCTGGTGACGCGCGCGCCGCCTTTCAGACTGCGCGTGCTACGCAGTCGCCGCGACACAAAACCTCAGAGCGCCTTCAACAATAGCACGCGGGTGGGGTCGTTAGACCAGCGTGACATTGCCAGACATCCGACGTCATGTTTGTTGTGAGTGACATTCCCCTAACATGTGGCTCCCCAGAGGTCTGGCCCCCTGGCCCAGGATATTCTTTTCCTCGAGCCGTTTTGACGGTCCTAGGGCCCAGTGAGGGAGCCTGGACACCAAACATTGCAAAGAACCTCCCGCCGTGATTTCTCCACGACGCGAGGATGTCAGGGACCCAGGTGTCACCGTCAACCCCCGGACCCGTTCTGGGGTGCGTTCTGACCAGACTTTCGAGGCGGATCAAGTCGTTGCGAAGATCGGGGAGACGTAGAACTCGGGCTCGGGGGACTCGGGTTGGCCTGACGGAGTCATCATGAAAATGACGCGACCCAATCTGGAATTTGACGCGAACTCCCGCTGCAAGCATCCCACGAAAACTGGACCGTCAAATCCAGGATGCGCTCGTCAAAGAGCCTCGGCAAACCCGAGTTCCAGCGTATTCGAGTCTCGAGTCTTACGTTTCCCCGAGGCGAGGAACATCCCCGAGGTCCATAAACTGCGGAAAACGTGCAGCAACCATCGAAATTGCTCTCTGAGTAACTTTCGGGTCATAGCTCGGGCCGTGGCGGCTGTTCTGGACGAGGCGGGGACAGCTGGAACGCGCTCGACGAGGCGCAGCTGCTGGCAAGCATCCGAGGCAAGAGGACCTCCAAGAATCACCGATCACTTCCGACAACAGTCCGAGTCCCGTGTCTAGGTCTGGGGTCAGAAGTTGACCCCAGGGCCCATCCAGGGGTGCGTATTGATCATAACTTCGAGGGGAGTCCACCCGTGGACACGAGAAACTTCCTGGAGGCCCAAAGAGGCCCAGAGAGACAGAAATCTCCACGGTTGATACAGTTGGCGGGCATTGGCAGGACTGGGTGTGGTGGGACCTGGTTTAGTGATATGTACTGCCGGACGCCTCCGTTGCCCCATTCCACTATCCAGAACTGCCGCCACCCGAAAAAAGCACAGGCTACGGCGCCGGGCAGACCTGGCTTAGTGATACTGGCATGTTCTTGTTGGTTTCGGGGTCCTATCACTAACCGGCTCCCCTTGCCTGGCGCCCTGGCTACACTCCCAATTTCAGAATAGAAGGGCAAACCTCCCAGACGAGCCATCCCCGACCTCCCCCCCCAGACCAGCCGCGAAAGGACTGGCCTCAGGCCAAGACCCCCTAGAGCCCCCTAAGACGGCTCAGATCAGAAACCCCCAAACTCAAACCCTCTTGCGCGCAGGGCGGGTAGGGGGAGGGGGGAAGGCTTCTAAGGAGGCTATCTCTTAGAAAGCACCAGCCTTACATTTGCAGAGAAGGCCCGCGCCTTCTGAGAAGCAGGGGTGCTGCTAAGGAGCCTTCCCCCCTGCCCCACCCCCCTCTGCGCGTGGCCGACCCGCCCTCTTTGATTCAGAAATGCGGAGTTCCCGAGGTCGCTGCTCTCCGAGTCCCCGCCCCGCCGCGCTGGCGGGGGCCGCCGCCCACGCGCCCTGCTGCTTCTGCGCCTGCGGCTGCGGCGGCTGCTGCGGCTGCTGCGGCGGCGCCTGCTGCAGCTGCGGCTGCAGGGCCTTCGGCGGCGAGCCCGAGGCCCAGACGTGCTCGCGTCGCGAAGCAATCAGGGCGAAGGCTTCTCCTCACTTGGGGCCGTTAAGGGCCCTCGCCTGGAAAGGGTCGGGACTTCCGGGAACCCCGCACTGGCAAACAAACAGCACATCGCATGTCTGGGGAGGCAAGTCGGAGCAGGCGGGCCTTCTCAGGAGGCTCGGAAGGCCTCTGGCCTTTCTGAGAAATTGTCTCATCCCTCTCCTAAGACTTATCGGACAGCTTCTCAAAGGCTGGAGGGCTTCTGAACCCCCCCCCGCCTTCTGAGAAGGCCTACCCACTTCTCACTTCCCCCCAAGGCCCGCCGCCGAGGCCTGCTCGTGGACGCCGTCCTGGTCGCAGGCCTCCTCGAGGGGTATCGCGTACCTCCGCTCGGGGCCCGCGGGAAACTGTGAGGGAAGGGGGGGCGAAGGGGGGATGCTGCTTACTTGAAGAGAGCCAGGGACACACAAATGAACACGCACAGATCTCAGGATCCCCCACGAGTTTCAATATTTTGGGGGTTGTCGTCTTATCCCCCACTTCCCATATTTTACCGGATTTTCTGGGGAATCGACAAGTCATTGTTTTTTTTCCTCCTGATTATTTAACGGGCGAAGAACGGTATAACATAAACTTGTTCGCCGTCGGGGACACCTGCCCCTGGGCGGCTGGAAAGTTTATCCCCCTACGGTGGCACCGTAGGGGTATAAACTTTCCAGCCGCCCAGGGGCAGGTGTCCCCGATGGCGGAACATTTATTTTATACCGTTCTTCGCTCGCTGAATTATTGCCGGCAGGCCTTCGTTGGTTCTAGGAGGTCCTCTCGCGTTGCGATGCCTGCCAGCAGCGGCGCCTCGCCGGGGCGCCCGGATGGTCCCGAGCGGCCGCCCGCGGCCCGCGCTGCGGCCCGCAAGCGGCCGGGGACGACCGAGGGGCCTGACGGTGTCTGCAGGCTTTGTCCCTGCGTCTCGGCCTCGGCGACGATGAAGGGGCCCTGAGACACACAAATGAATACACACAAATAAAAAGATTCTCCATATTTTCGTATTTTTTTGGGGTTTTTGTCTTCCCGCCCAACTCCCATATTTTCCCATATTTTCTAGGAAATCTACGATTAATTGTGTCTGTGTGTTTTTTCCCCTCCTGAGACGAGGAGGCTCCCGGTCGCCACGGCTGGATCCGCCTCTCGACTCTGGTGCAAACGCACCACGCCCTCATCATTGGATACCGGAGCCTTTTTGTTCCGATCGCGACCGTCGAGATTTTACTACCGTGCTGCTGCTTCAGATCCGGGAATCGGTCGCGACCGACTTGATTCAAAATCGGTCGTGGCCGATCGGTCGCGACCGGCCGGTCGCGATCGGATGCGACTGGTCGCAAGCGATTTTGGAGTCGGTCGCCATCGGCCGCGACCGATTTAGACGGCCGGTCGGTCGCTACCGATCGCGACCGACAGAATTCTGGTATCCAGTGATCTGGGCGGGAAAGGACGGCCTGGAGAGCCCCAGGGCCCTGACATCCTCGCGTCGCGGGACAAAGCCGCGGCGGTCTGTTTTTGCCCGTTCGCGGCCTCCGGGGGCCCTTGCTGTGCACCGGGGCTGTGGAAAACTCGTGGAGGGGGAGAAAACTTCTCCTGGGAACGGGTCCAGACCTTTGGGGGTCAACGTAGCGACGGGCTTTTTGAGATCGGCAACATTTCGGGCTGAGCGTCCGTCTGGGCGCGCGGGATGCTCGCCCCCGCCGCGCATTTCCCGCGCGGCGGGAGGTGCCGCTTGCGCAAGCAGGAGCGGGGAGACGACCCTCCCCCCTTGCGCGGTCTGCGGGGGCCCCGATTGAGAGTAAATGCGGGAAGAGCTAAGGGCGAGGCTCGCGCTTTCTGCGCGCTCGCGGGCAGAGAGACGCCAGCGGCGCAGGCGCTCTGGCACGCGTGGTGCGGCGCCTGGAGCATGGAAGCGCCGCCTTGGTGCACCCCCCCGCGGCGGCCCAAGGCAAGCCCCGCTGGGGAGAGGAGGGGCGCTGGCACTGGCGCGCCGTGCGTTGAGCAGCAGGGAAAGCCTGGAGGCTGTCCTGAAGTTAACGGGCGAAGAACGGTATAAAGTAAACTTTTTCGCTGTCGGGGGCGCCTGTCCCTGGGCGGCTGGAAAGTTTATACCTTTACGGTGGCACCGTGAGGGTATAAACTTTCCAGCCGCCCAGGGACAGGCGCCCCCGACAGCGAAAAAGTTTATGTTATACCGTTCTTCGCTCGCTGATGAAGGAGCGCCCCGAAGGAGACGACAGGTCGGAAGGCCTGCTGGAGGCCGTCCCAGGCAGCTCGTGCTCGGGAAAGCCTGTCACGCAGCGGAGCTGCTTGTTCCTGGACGTGCTGGAGAGATTGGGCAGGGTGGTAGGCAGCGCGACGATGCTGACGGTGGGGATAGTTTCGCGGTCGCCCTCTGGCTGACGACTGGCCCCTGAGCGGTGCTGCGCGAGGGTTTGCCTTTCGGTCTGCTCGCTGGGTCCCCGTCGGAACGAGCCCAGTTCTGTCGACAGTCGCTGGCCGTTCGCTGCTCCTCGTGCACTGGTGGGAGGAGGAGCTGGCCTGGTGGTGAGGGGGAGTTGTGGTGACGGCCTTGTCCTGTCGACCGTGGGCGGCTTGTGCCTGGTCGTCAGCGAGTCTTGACTAGCTCGCGTCGCGGTGACCGTCGTGCTCGACTTGGTCATTCCTGCTGTGCCTTTGAAAGGTGGGGTATTGTTTCCTTCGTCTGCATCCAGGGAGGCGCCAAGCCCGAACGGGTCTTTTTCCTCGCGGTCGAAGTCGTCAAGGAGGCCCGCCCATGCGTCACCGAGGTGATCGAAGAAGTCGGGCCCTGGTGGACGGTCGAGATGGTCGCGGCCGCTGCGTGAGCCTTTTAGCTCATGGCCACCATGGCCAGCGATAGGAGGGCACGGCTTCATCAGGCTGAGTTCGGCCCTTGAATAGCACGCCCTTTCTGGCAAGGGAAACGCCTGGTGGCGCTGGCCATGCATGCCGACAGCCATGCCGTGAAGGATGGCCTCGACTTCGTGGTCCTCTAGTAGCGCGGGTGGGGCGGCGTGGCACGCGGCGCAGGTGTGCGCCGGCCGCGGCAAGTTCATCAGCGCGGCGATTGAAAGCCCTCCGCAAACGGCGTCACGCGCTCCTCGCTGGCGCCCCGCTCGCCAGTGTGGCTTTCGAACTTAGGGACCTTGAACGCGTCCAGTTTGGCCTGGAGGACGCGGTGGATCGGCTGCCACAGGTCGGCCTGGTCTCCCACGCGGCGCGGTGGTTTGCCGCTGAGGAGGTCCTCGATCGAATCCGTCAACTACAACTAGATTCAGGTCGGGCCTGTCCTCCTACAGGGGGATTTGGGAGGAAAAATTAGAACAAGTCAAAAATACCCCCAAGTGGTCAAGAAATCGTCCCCTGATTTTTTTGGTTACTTTTGAATATTCCGCCTGTAGGGGGACGCGCCCGACTTATAACTCGATTGCCAAAGAAAACGCGCGCGGGCAGCCGCGGCGACGGGATGCAGCGCGGCCGGAGTCTCGGCCCTCTGAGCGGACTACGCCAGACTGCGCGCCCGGGCTGAATGGTTGAGCTGGCGATCGAGGCCGTAGTATTCGGTCGGGCCTGCCCCCCCACAGGGGGATTTGGACGAAAAAATGCTCCAACAATGCTCCAAAATGAAAAATGCGCAACAAACTGTCCCCAGACTATTTTTGTGTAAGCTATTTTTGAACATTCCTCCTGTTGAGGGACACGCCCGACTTAACCGTAGTATACTCTGCAGGCAATCCTGGCGAGGAGCGGCTGGGCCTACTGCGAGCAGCCCCGTCAGTGGGCGCGCGCGTCCGTTGGGCCCCCGCATTGAAGTGACTCTTCGTTGGCGTCGTCAACGGCGCCCTCTGGCGACGGCCGCGGACCGGGCTGTGGGAGCTCGTCCTCGGCAAGGTCAGCTGAGGGATCAAGGAACTGGGGTCTACCTCGAGATGGCCGCAGCGTCTGGCGCAGAGGCGGCAGGTCGCGCAATCGCTGCTCGGTGATCATGGTTTTCAGGGCCGTCCTCTCGGGTAGAGGCATTTTCAGACGGCGTGCTCCTGGCTTCTTCGTCTTATTATGTAACTCATTATTTTCTCATTCTTGGTCGCAACGTCCGCGCATAGGATGCGCCGGCAGGGATGCCGGCCTTGACTTCTCCCTGCTGGGCGTGGTCCCCCGCGAAGGTATTGCGCAGGAGCCCGAGTTGCCGAATGGCGCACTTGGGGCGGCACCCAGGTCGTGACTGGGGGAGGGAATGCGCCGAGGGAAGGACCTTCTCTGTGACGCATGGAGTTCATGCGTGAAAAGCCCCGCTGGCAGGTTGAGCCTTGACAGCAGGGTGCCCTGGTCGTCGTACATCGTGCCGTTCCCTGGCCAGCTCCGTTCGAGTTGGGCAGTGTTTTGCCAAACTCTACCCACTGGACCTCCCCCTTGGGTGGAATGCGCATGATCGCGCAGCTCGATGGCTTTGGCTTTGAGACTGGTCCCTCGCCGCGCTTGCCTTCTGAGCCCGAGCAGAGCTTGTCTTTGCGCGATGGCACCAGGTCCGATGGCGTGCCCAGGAACAACCTAGCGTAGAGGGCCCACTTGCGAGAACGAGGATCTTTCTGTGGCCCCCATGGCGCCGCAAGCCCGGTTGTTGTAATGCGTGTAACTCTGTGGCTGGGCACTTGGGTGTCGCTGCGAGTGGTGCGCGTGCTGGCAACGAGGGGCCTCGCTGATCGAGCTCTCGCCTGGGCGCCTTCGGGGGGCCGCCCGATGCGCGGGGGTCTGGCGACTGCCCTTCGCACCCTGGCGTCGGCGGTGTCCTCCAGGTCCAAGGGAGCAACGTCTGCATATGGTGCTACATTGACCAGATTCACCTGGTGGTGAGTTTGCAGTGGCTGCACGTGAAGCCACAGGTTGGCCACCTGGCGTTGAGGCTCTTCGCCCACGGCCCCCAACCGCTCTGCCGGGGCGGATTCTGGCCAGAAGACCGATCGAATAAGACTGTTTGTCAAGTGACGTTTGGGGCCTTCTGGCAGCAGGGGCCACGGAGTTGCTGCCGTCGAAAAACCTCGTGCTCAATGAGCCAGGCACGTGTCGGTGCTGTAGATGCCTTGAAGGTGCCCGTTGGTGCGCGCCAGGGGTCTGGAATCCGCTCCTCCAGTGCGGATGCATCTCCGGCAGTTAGCGTGGAAGCGTCGCCTGACTTGCGCGGCATTGGGCGTCCATTCGGCGCGCAGCGCTAGGTTGAGGCAGATGTCCGCGCCGAGATGGTCGAGTCACTTTTGTCGGTCCAGCGCAGCCCCTGCTGCAGGGACTTGGGGGTAGCGTGCGGGTTCGACCTGCGGCGTAAGAGTAGT